AACCCAACCCCCCCCCCAAAAAAAAAAAACACAACAAAATAAATGAAAAATATATATATATATATTTATATATATATACACACACACTTTTAGTTTCTGCTATAAAACATATACAATAAAACATTTTTAAAAATCAAATTTCTTCATAAATTTAGGCCAAAATGTAATTTGCTACATATTTTTAGTAAAACAAATCCCTATAAGCATATATATTTATGGTACTTATATAGTGCTGTCAATTTATGCCGTGCTGTACATATATATTGTACATTCATGTCAATCCCTAATCCTCAAGAGCTGTACAATCTAAGGTCCTTAACTCACATTCATACACATGCTAGGACCAATTTACCTACCTGCATGTCTTTGGAGTGTAGGAGGAAACCCACACAGGAAGAGAACATGCAAACTTCAGGCAGGTGGTGCCGTGGTTGGGTTTAGAACCAAGGAGCCTAGTACTGCCAGGTGGAAGTGCTAACCATTTAGCCACTGTGCTTCCCGTATATATTGATTGGTTTGTGAAAAGGTTATAGTGTCTACAAACGGCGGTATATATACTGGAATTTTTTTTATACTAGTAATGGCTGCGTACAGCGACTTATAGCGGGACTGCAATATTGCAGTGGACAGTCTGACACTAACTGACACTTTGGGGGAACCAGTGACACTAATACAGTGATCAGTGCTAAAAAATATATACTTTGTATTTCAATGGTTTTTATTAATTTATAACAATTAACACAGGAGCAACAAATCACGCCCACACAGGGGCTATCAATTGCACATAGAGGAGCTAGAAATTAGAGAAATCAGTGCTCTAACACCAACAGGGCAAAAGATACGCCCATGCAGGGGCCATCAATGGCACTTAAATAACAAAACATAAATATAACACTGATAATAACTCAGACTAAAGGTAGCTATCCACTGCCGCACCAAAGCAAACAGAGAAAAAAAAGGGGGGAAAGGCTAGCCGGGGGGAGCGTGGGAAAGGTATATTGCAACCACGGCTCCCATATTTTCAAGAATTTACATTGGGAGTCGTTGCAGATACTCGACATCTGTTCATTGAGCATCATAGCGGTCATACGATCCCGCACCCCCTGAAGAGGGACAAACGGGCTCTTCCAGGCCTGAGCAATTGTTCTAGAGGCCGACAAAAACAAATAGGAAGCTAACTTCTGCTGGTGAGCCAAGAGGCCCGGTATGGGACAATGAAGCAAAGCATATTGAGCATCCCGTCATATAGAAAGATGGAACAAGGTGAAAAGGAGGCCAAACACACGAGACCAAAAACAAAGCAGCCTCGGGCATGACCACCAGATATGCAATACATCACCACGATGGCCATAACCCCGAAAGCATCAATCACTGCAGGCAGGATTCGCCTGTGCCAAGCGAGCCGGAACCCAATACCAACGAAACAACACCTTTTAGGCCGCCTCCAGTGTGGTCGTATTAAAAGAGCATTTAGCTACAAGCGACCAGGCCCTATTCCAGTCCTCCAGATCCACAACCACTCCCAGGTCGCGCTCCCACTGAACGACATATGAAAGAGAAGTATGCGACGAGCGTCTATTCAAGGCTGCATAAAGAAGGGAGATACGGCCCAGGGCGCCTGGACGCTGTTGGCAAAGCAGTTCAAAGGCAGATTTCTGGTACGGGAAAACAGAAGTGCCCCGCAATGAGAGCAGCCAATGCCACAATTGAAGGTAATGAAAAAATTCCTCTGAAGGGACATCCCATGACTCCCGAAGAGAATTCCAGGTGGGGAAGGACCGAGAGGTCAAAAAGTGTCATACTTGTGAAAAACCGTTGGCCACCCACCAAGAAAACGCCCTTGGTTGATCTAAACCCGGTGGAAATAGGGGGTTGTTAGTAATCGGGAGCAAAGGCAAGAAAGGTGACATTAGGCCACTGGAGTAACGTACCGAGTCCCACACTTGTAAGCCATGGAGCAAGATCGGACTCAGTGCCGTGGGGCGCAGGGCAGGGCAAAGCCATAGAAGGGTTGAAATCGCAGTAGGGGCACAATTAGGTAAATTTAGCAAGACCCAGAGAGGTATGTCTGAGGAAGCATGCAACATAGATAGCGGGGCGATCTGGCTCACCTGATAATATTTAGTTACATTGGGAACCCCAAGGCCACCCTGGAGTCTATGGACAAAAAGCGTAGTTCTGGAAACTCTGGGGCATTTATCGGCCCAGATAAAATGCATAATATTCGCCTGAAGCAACCAAAGGAAATGAGGAGGAACCCGCACTGGGAGGGTGCGAAAATAGTATAACAATTTTGGCAAGATGGTCATTTTCACTGAATTGATCCGTCCTATCCATGACAGGTGCGGAAATTGCCAAGAATGCATAAGAGAAGACACAGAGCGAAGCAATGGATAGTAATTTGCAGCAAACAGTGAGTCAAGGTGGGGGTCAAGCGAAGGCCTAGGTATTCAAGAGAAGAAGAGGCCCATTTATAAGGGAAGTGGGACTGTAGGCGCGAAACCAGATCTGAGGCCAAAGTAATATTACTAAGCGCAACAGTCTTATTCAAATTGATACAGAGACCCGAAATCAAAGAGAAGCGCTCAAGAACCTGTTGCAAATTTGGAAGCGTCGTAAGGGGATTAGTGAGAGTCAAGAGGGCATCGTCTGCAAAAAGGTTCAACTTGAACTCCTGTCCCCTGCCCCTAACAAAAATATACACTTTAACTGTATTAATGACTGGCTGGGAAGGGGTTAAACATCTAGGTCAATCAAAGGGTTAATTGTGTGCATAGTCAGTATTCTGTGTGTATTGTGTAGTGTTTTTAAGCAAAACAGGTATCGGTGCTCACCCATTGACAGGCCCCTGCTGATCGGCTTCTGCGGTTTTCAATCCCATCAGAAGTGATTCCCTGGCAGCAGGCGCTCACCCTCCAGTAGGAGGAAGTGCACAATCACATTTATATACGTGATTTTTCATGCTATAGGGCGGACGGCAAGTGGTTAAAGTTTGTAGGAGGAGTTTTCATTCTCCTCTGTCTTTTGAGATTGCATGACCCTGACCCTCTTTCTGGAAAGTGTAGAATGGCCCTGTGCTGATCACATGCACCCTCCCCCTAAAAAACAAACCATCTGTACTATCAGTAGATGGATTGGGGACAGTAAAAGAAGGAGAGGATCAGAGAAGACAGGGTCAAACTGCCTTTTTACAAAATATGGAGGATTAACCCCTTAGGTTCCACAGTGAGTACAAGCATGTTTTACTGCACAAACAGACTGATCTTACTGTTGTGGGTTTAGGAGCACTTTAAAACTATTTCAGATTCAATTTTGAGACTCTAAAAATTGTTTTTAAGGCGAGAGTATACAAGATTGTGGTCTACAATAGCAAAGGCTTAACTAAGATCTAGTAGAATAAGAATAGTTAGTGAGCCGGAATTGGAAGCTTACAGAAGGTCTTTGGTGACTTTGACCAAGGCTGTTTCTGTGTTGTGCAGTTGCTGAAAACCAGATTGGAGGTGTTCAAATTGGTTCTTTTTTAAGTCAGTTTATTATGGAACCAAGATATCACAAGCCATACGTGGATCTTGGCAAGGAAGGGTAAATTAGATATGGGGCAAAAGTTGTTTAAATTGTCAAAAGCCATTTTGGTTTTTTTTTTATACCGGGTGACAGTGTGTCATGGTATGGTGTCAGGCTTGAAGGCCAGTAGCTATAGCAATGGAGCAGCACCCACCGACAAGCAGGACAGGTATACAAGCAGGTCACCCTGGTAGATAACACAGGTTCACCTGAGGTGCAGAGTCTAAGTACTAAATGGTATTCACCAGAGCTCCTAATAGGGGAGATGGGTTTAGCTGCATGTTAGTACCAGGTCGTGATCAGGATCGCCCCACCAAGAGGTGAGCAATCCAGGGTCCAGTAGCAAATAACCAGGTAGGGATTAAGCAGAAGCACAGTTAGTAAACAAGCCAAAGGTCAGTATGAATGGTTGCAGGTTGGGATAAAGAAGAATCCTAGTCGAGGAACAAGCCAAAGGTTGGTAACGAATGGAAGCTAAGATGCAGACGGTAGCAGGAGAAACAAGAGTGAGATATTGGCTTTAGAGGGCACAATAATTTGGCAAACAGGAAGTGCAGAGACATTGCTTAAATCAGTAAATTCATGGAAGGAGCAAAGAGTTCAAGGTTCAAGACAAACAAGGTTCAAGACAGGATCATTCAAGAAATTGTCCACAAAACTGTCCAGCATTCCAAGTGGCTCAGCATGAAAAGTCATTGCCAGACATTGCAGAGGTCCCAGGTTCATGTCCAGGCCTTGATACTGTGTCAGTTGTGAGGATTGTTGGTACAAAACCAGTGCTAAGGAAGCAATTTGTTATAATGGGGCATAGAGAACTAAGTCAAGATTTAAATTAGGAGGTGGGAATAGAATAAACAATGCAGGTGGAAGATTTCAAATTAGAGGAGTCTGATTTAATCAGAGATGCAGAGTAGAAAGAAGTGATAGAAAGAAGAGCCAAGAAAACTTGGTGGGTCAGGAAGTGATGTAGGAAAATGTGATGCCTTATTTTGTAAATTTTTGAGGAGAAGAAATTTAAAAATATGTTTACAGAGCTGTGTTGAGCCTGGTAATGTGGATGGACAACAAAGTTTTAATAATTTATCAATGGTGCAAAAAAGTTGTCTAGGCTTGCTAGAAATGTTTTTCAATGGCATAGGAGAAATAGTTGGATCTAGCAATCTCATTTGACCCCTATAATCACACAAATGGGCCTTCCATACCTAATGATGAACCATCAGGCCAGAACGGCGCCAACTATGCTGAAGTCTCCGCGAGACTGCCTTTTTTGATTATAGGTGGTCATTATACACTTACAGTATCACTCCCCCAAGCCAATCAAAAAAGCTAAAGGGTGGAAGGAATGCTGAAATATTTGATTATACTTCAATGACCCCTCTTTTAATGCCACTTTTATAAAATATTGATATTTCTGAACAGGGGTGTACTGACAACTCATGTGGCCCCGGGCAATAGGGAATCATGGGGCCCCTGTGTCCTTGCCCAAACTCAAAAAAGCCTATGAAAAAAGTACAAGGGGCATCTCATGGAGCCCCCTACTTACCCCGAGCCCTCGGGCAGTACCCGAGTTTCCAAATAGTCAGTCCGTTCCTGTTTCCAAATGAACATAAATTTACAGTTAGGCAACCAACAGATTACTACGAAGAATTATTTCACAAGTTTAAAGTCATGAGGTATGGCCTATTATGTATGTATGGCCTATTCAGAGGGGTTAATGTGTCCTATTAGCTTCCTGCACTTTTGCTGCATAAGGTGGGATTTTCTTAGACATTTGTGTAGCAAACTTGCTCATCAGAGTTGGACGCGGAGTTCCCCTTTTTTATTAGAAGTATTCCTCAATCCTTTATTCTCCTTCCCCCTCCCTTCTCGAGAGGCACAGTGACAGATGGTGGGCTGGTATGGGTCAACAGCAGGTTAAGGCATCCTTAGTTCGGTGCCGAGCAGTCTGCGAAAGTGTAGCCTTCCTCATCTAAGTCATGATAAGGCCAGTGTTCCTCAGAGAATTGGGAAGCACTGACCCTAGAACCTGTGTAGGCTCACACATCATAAAACAGATAAGGCAGCTTCTCCCAGGAATTGAAAGAGATTGTAACCTCATAAAACCTAACAGTTAAAGGTGACAGAATGAAATGAACATTCCTCAAGTCAGGTTTTTTCCCCTATGTTTCATGTCATGGATTATGACAGATATTGGTTCTAATTCAGAGTTCGCCCGACTGACCGCTCCCAAAACAGCGTATTGGCCAGTATTCAGAGCCACCCCCCCCTGCAGGGGGACTTTAAAAGACAGGCTGGCAAGCCTAAAGAATTAAGCTAAAGAGATCTCCTAATTTTAACATCGTAACAGCAGGAGATCGAAGACCCTTCGCTCTGCAACTTGGATCTGCTTACCTTAAGGCTTAACATGGCAAGTAACTTAACCTTTTAACTTCTTCCTGTTATCTCTTTGCTGTGCTGGGCTGTTTCCTTTTTTTTTTATATATAAATATATATCTTGGTTATATCTTTTTCTGTAAATATTTTATTGCACCTGTTTGACTCTTTTAGTAATAAATCTTTCTTTCTGAAAGTGTTAAACTGTTTCTAAGCGCTTACTTGCAATTCACGAATTCCTGCCTTTTGAAGAGACGCTACTGTGTTTGTTTAATCCTCTGCCCAATTGGCCTGCAGTGACCATATTGGACAGGCGACTTTTCAACCATTACAGTGTATATTTGATAAAGAGAGTTTCCCCTTTCTCTGTACAAAAAGGGGTGGTGGCAGTGAAGGGTTAGTTGCGTAATTAACCCGACCCAGTAACAAGCGCATTCAGGCTGCCGGTGCGTCAATTGCGTTCCATTAGCTGGACAATCATTGTGAAGGGCGTCACACTGCGGTTTTAGATCGGCTGGTCCTTTGGTCACGAGTTTGGTGAGAAGGTCTGGGGTCTGTCGCCGCGGGCGTGACATATTATTGTTGGTCGCGGTCGTGCGATTGTTGCATGTTGAGGGTGGCGATCGGGCGACCGTGACAATTTGGATATATTCTTGTTATTATTGTAGCATGACCAAGAATTATGGGTGCATTTTAATACCTGACAGGGGCTTTCAGGTCAAGGGAATCAGACTTTCAGGTCAGGTCAAGTGAATCACAACTACCATTGTGGACTATGCCTAAATGGGTTTCCAAAATTAATTGCAACTTGAGCTAGAGGTTTTATTGCATGTCAGGTATCAGTTAATTAATTTATTACCTACACCCGGATGGTGCTAAAATCCTTTGAACTGAAATACTTTAATGACTAGTTTTTATGGTATCTGCCTTTGTTCTAAAAACACTGTGTATATTACTGCTAAAAGGTTTTAATGGCCATGTTTAAAACATTCCTTTGAAACTTAATGGGAGGTATCTGTTTGTGTATATACCTCTATCTATTTGGGTAGGTTATAAAGAAATTCAGTAATGTAACACAGAACCCCAGCGCACAAAGAGACTCTTTCAGTATAAAAAATTTGCTGCTGTGCACCAGTGTAATACACCAACATACAAAAAATATAAATAAATAAACAGCGCAAATCAAACAACTCATTCAGTACATGTTACAAATAAAATTGTAGTGAAAATAACCAATTTAAATAAAGTGCCAAAAAATAATATATTAGTGTCCACAAAAAAATATATGCATAAAGTCCTTTTATCCCAGAAAAAACATAGGTATAATGATTTCTCCCAAAAAACAGTGCTTCCACCATCCACCAGTGTGAAATCAAAATCAACCGCACTCACCAGATGTTAGTGAGTTATGTGCCTTTTAGAATTTAAGGGATCCTAAACCCCCTCTATATCCTCCAGAACTCTTATATCGCTTTGCAGGCCTAGATGATTCCACTCACTCCTCATATGAACTCCACCGCGGTCCAAAAAAAGAAAAAAACATATACCATAGCGTGATACTGCTATACCTAATGTAGTATTATAAATAATACCAGGCCACTCACATGTTAAAGATAAATAGAAAGCATTGATTTATTGCCTCCATAGGCTACCAAAATATCCAAGGGATCACACTCCAATCCAGAGACCTCACAGCCTGTTGGTTTGCAGAGGATAGAAACCCAGATCCAACAATCAAGATGGTCGCTTGGAACGCACCCCTCGGCGTGCGTTCCACTCACCGGAAGTGACGTAGGACGTAAGGACGGCAGACCAGAAATGTGTCAATGCGTTTCACCCCTCCCACAGGGCGTTCTCAAGCTATAAAGAAATTCAGGAGGTCTGTTAATCTAAAGAGACACACAAGACTGAGTTGGATATATCATTGCAGAGATGCAAATTCTCAGGACAATGCCCTATTTGCCACTTGTTTTGGAGGTCTTCAAACCTCATTATCAGCACACAGGTGATCAAAACTATGCCAGAGAGAAACCATACAGCAGCTAATAAGCAAGCCAGGGACACTGTTAGCCATAGGAAGATAGTGTCAAGAAATTAAACAGCATAGTTAGACTTTGTACTATAGGTTGTAACCTAGGGTAAACAAAACCTAATGTTCAAAACCAGCAATAGAACAATGTTGAAGACTAGAGTTACACTAAAATCAGAGTACATAAAGTTCAAGTAAGCTCTGGTCAAGCAGGATTGTCAACAAGGTGAAGTCAAGAATGAGAACTGCACTCACTAACTTAGAAACTTTACAGTAGGCAAACAGAATTGAAATGTTCATATATGAACAAGGAGACCAGACTAACCAGGATGTCCCAACTTCTTTCCAGGGACATAGGTAAAGCAGAACTAAAGGTAGAACTAAAGGCATTCCAGGTCCCTCACCAGTGCTAGTATCTTCTCCCGGTCTTTTGGAATCTGTATTGGCAGTTGCATGATGATGTAACTCCCGCACATGCACAGGAGTCAGTCATCTGAGCAAACAAAGACCATGAAGGTGATGAAAGCTGAGCTGATCATGCGCAGCACAGTTTATATGCTGCAAAAGACTGTGAGCAGGCAGGTAGGTGTATATTATTGCAGAAGAGACATTGCTGGCCCTCATCCTGTTGTAAAATGCCTTCATTTCCATTTTAAGGGAAGGCACCTGGAAAATGAGGGGATGCCGGAATGTGGAAGAAACCAGAGGAAACAATATGAGGAAAATTGGAAGAAGCCACAGCAGAAGAAACAGAGGGGAATTATCCAGAGGATGCAATATTGATCCTCAGCTGAATTTACAATATCTGATCACAGTGCTGACAACAACCACCACAATTAGATTCTTGACACTTGTAGTTAAATCAGTCTTGATGGCTTTATTTAATCAAAATGTTATTTTTTTAATGAAAAAAAGTTTACATAGAATAAATCCCAGCTTTATATCAGTAATAAAGTTCTTTTTGTAAATGAAAAAAATGCCCCTCCCCGAGGTGTAAGTCTGAATAACTAGTATGCACTGCAAACTAGTACATTATGACAGATTACCTACAAATGGTGCCCCCCAGAGCTGTGCTGTCCCTGTTCTCTGCTGTCCCTGCTTCCTGGCCCTTCCATCTTCACCTGGCTTTTCTTCCAGGTCTGGAATCCCTGGCTGCTTGTATGGCTGGGCAACGGTGACATCAAGCACGGGAGTTGTCCTAGCATGCAGAGTGCGGTCTGAGCTGCGCATGTGTGGTTCAGCTCACATTACTAGCTGACAGGCAGGGGGAACATTTATGACAGAAGTGACCTCTAGGGTCTCTTCTTTTATAAAAGCCCTGTCTGTCAGATGATTTTTTATTTCTTAAAGTGTTACTAAACCCAGGACCCTGCATCCACTATATCTGGTCTCCACAGTACACAGGACATGGAAGTGCAATTATTTTAGTAAATATAAACTGCTAAATACCTTTTCTCATTAGCAGTTAGAGCAGTCTTGTGACTTCTATCAGTGTTCAACCAAGCACTAGCTAAAGCTTGTAGGATGAGTTTTCTTTCTGCTCTAGGAGGATGCAAAACCCCTGACCTATGTCTGGACAGTGCTAGTTGGCCCTGTGCTGATCACATGCACTCTGCCAAGAAAAAAATAACCTCTCTAGCAATACACACCAAACTGAGCATGTGCAAAAGGCCTACGGTTCAGTCTGTCTTATCAGGAGATAAGAGGTGGTCGCTTGAAAAAGGGGAGGGACAGAGAAGAAGGGATCAAACAGCCTTTTTACACAATGCAGAGGATTAACCTTTTAGGTTCCACAGTGAGTATAACAAGCATGCTTTACTGCATATACAGACTGATTTTACTGGTGTGGGTTTAAGAACACTTTAGGTTTACTACCACTTTACCTTTATCAATAGAATCAACAAGCTTTTTATGAAGTGTTCATCAAATAAATTCAAATAAATGATCAGAGCTGCGCATGGTGTGCAGTGTATATAAATTCTTGACAAACGATCAATGATAAATTGGTGATTTATAAGAAGTAGGCTGCTAAATAGCGAGCGGGGGATGTTTCATCAAAAAAATGTTTACCTCCCTCAGTCCCACTTGCATTCTGTAGTGAAAAAGAGCAGGTAACACAGTGTTAACTGTGTAATGAAACATGACTGCCAATGCTTCAGAGACAAGACTTTACATTAGACACAAGCAATCAATCTGGACAAGCAGCACATACTCTGAAATGTTGACACGTGTATTACAAATCCATTTATTTACAGGCGTACCACTAAAAGTAGTGTTGAGATATGAGTAAACTAATCTTTATTTACTTTATTTGTGCATCTGTTTACTCTAAGAACAGAAGTGAAATATCCCAACAGAAATGTCTAAGGAGTGTAGCATTTTTGAAAGTTATTGCTGACTATATCATTTATGACTTGGGCCACCCATCAATGCTGAGGGTTTTAATGTAAAATATCCTGGATAACAGCTGTGTATACCAACATGGCATATTCTAAAATCCTGCAAATGTTTGGGTCTTCTTTTAGAAAGAAGCAGTCCTGCAACCAAAAATGTGAGAATTAACAAGAAAATAAAACATAGGATATGTGAAGATGTTAAATTCTTTATAACAAGTAAACAGTCCCTTTTAAAATCTCTTTAAATGAAGTTATCTGCAGCCCTGTCAGCCTTTGGGAAGCAATAAAGAGAATGTTTATGCTGATAGCCAACATAGCTGATGATATTTGCAAGATTTTAACTTGATAACATCTGCTTTCTTTCTTGAGAATTATTTAATTTTTAAACACATTGCTCCCAACCTTTACTTTTCTGCAAACCAACCGCATTAATTATTTATTTATCTTTATTTCCTGAAGGCAAACTAGACATAAGGTCTCCTATAAATATTTAACACTGTTTCTGGAAAATAACTGAAACTTTGACTTAACTTTTAATTGCACTCCCAATATACAACAATGGCCAAAACTGAAATATAAAAGAGGTCTGCATGCTAAGAAGCAAAATGTCTTTATTTTGTAATTCTGTCCTCTGTGATCCTGCCTCCACTGAAAGTTTTTTTCTTCTCTCTTTATTTATTTATTTTTGCTTGGGTAATTTGATTTTTGGTACATTTCTTTGTAATATAGGATATATGCACCCATTACTGCTCCAGATATGTCTATTATGGATCATTTGGCACAGTACAATAGCCTTGAATATCTTGCTAAATCGTCCTGAGGCTAAAACTAGTATTGCATAGATACAGAAGCAAGAAGCATACAGCAGCTCATTTTGTTGCTGGTTTTATTTTGTGCAAATGAGCAAGCATTTCACCACCTGCAAAAGATCAAAATAATTTACTGGATTTGTATGTTGTTTTAAATTCCTATTAAGATCAAATTGTAAAAAATAACTTAAATCCTCCACTTCCCATGTATACAGTTATATTTATTTAGTACAATTTAATGCAGTAAATATCAAGTGTAATATCAGTCATATATAAATATGTCACAAATTACAAACAAGCAAAACTGAAATAAAAGCATATATTTATAATAATGTTGAAGATTTATGTAAGTGCTGGAAGTATATTTCTTGAGATGGAACAGGGAGATATTTTAACAAAAATCACTGAAAAAGAAGGTAACTCCCCTGTTAGACAGTTTGGTAAAGTGTTCATACTGGAAGACATCCCCTCTTTCTTTGTTGCAGTGGCAACTGAACATTTTGATTGTTCCTCACTTTCAGGCACAGTGGTCACCCGTACAAGCAGAGCAGGTGAATCTCCCTAGTAGAGACAAAGCAATAAAAGCCAATAAAAAAACCATACAGTGGTACAAATCCTTTCCTACATTCTCTAAAACTATAAATAAATGGGGTTTAGATACATTTGAAAGAAGAACCAATAGAAGTAAGAAATTCAAGCTGAATCCCCCAGGGGACCCAGTGCACATAGCACACAGAGAAGAGGAGGCATGATAGACAACACACAGAGCCTGCATAACCCTCTCCTCTCTGAAAGCTACCAGTACAGAACATCTGCTTTCTAACTGATCGTGCAAAACTGTGCCTCCTCTGCTCTCCTATGCCACCTTCTTTGTACTGAAAATAAGTAAGCTTGTACCCTCCAACCAGCCACCTGCTATTTCAGAGGAGAGAGTTTACAGCAGTAACTGTTAGCTTGTATTATTGTGAATGACAGCACTGGAGAGGAGCACAGTCATTTATAAAAACACAAGTCTACAACAAGATACATCAGCTAGTACACTAGTTTTTGTACCCTTAATAGCAGGTAGACAGGTGTGGGCCTGGTTGTAAAAGTGGATTATGGGCCAACTGTGGTATAAAAGCTTCTACTTGTGCTTATAGATGATCATTGTGTCTATCCCCTCCACTGGGGAGAATGAAAGCTCCTTTTGTAGTAGACTTAAATGGTGTTTATTTTTAGGGAAGCTAGACAGATTAATTACATTATTTTTCTCCTCCACCATAACAGGAAGCTATTTCCGTTTCCTAGAGTTCATGATCACACAAGATGGACCACATTCTTGCCATAAATGCTTGCGGGTGGTAAGATGGTGTGATGTGCTCCAGCCTTGCATGCATTACTAACCCTATAACTCTGGAGTTGTTGATGTTTAAATTACCATGATTCACTTAATCAGGAAAATATTACGACCTGGTCTATGAGAACTAAACTGCAACTGGACCCTTAATGAAAAATGCTATATTGGGTGATAAATGTGATCTTTTGGATAATTAGGCTGCTGTATGGAAGTAGCTCTCTAGTTAAGTAGTGATTAATTGTTGAGGATGATGACCGTAGTCATCTACGATGCCCCATTGGTGACCCATCATATCATACAAGAATATTAGTTTTTTCTAAGCTCTGTGTTCCAGGATCCAATTACAGATAGGTGACAAAAGTGTGAAGAGTGGTCTGGACCTTTGGTGTTGTCTCAGAGATAATGTTACTTTTTTGTGGTGGTGGGTAACAGATATCTTTTGAATTCTTGATTGTTTCGATTTGATACTGCATTTGATCCATATTCAACCTTCTGTGTTGTGATCCCATCTCTTGGCTTTAGTAATGCATTTACTGTATAGTGATTTTGGCCAATATCCTAATTTTTACTTTGGATAAGTTGGTGAGAAACACTGGCAGCTGGGTCTGAGCTCAGTTTTTTTTTCAAAGCAAAAACGTCTTGTCAGTACAAACAAAGATGGCAGAGGGGCAGCACAGACACAGACAAGGCTGTTGGATTATATGGAGGGCTTCAGAATAAAGAGGGGGAGGTGGCTTCAGTGCTAACTGTAGCTTGCTTACAAGTTTATGCTGTTTGAGAAGTGCCAAAAGTAATGAATGAGCTTTTTTTCTTTTTTATATACAGCTAATCAGTTTGTACATTATCTGTCACATTTCCAGAGTCTACATACAGTACATGACTAATTCACTTGTGGTTTTCTAGATATGTTTGGGCTTTTGTTGACAACCTACTTATTAAGCCAAAAAATCTGAGTGTATAGTATAACCAATGGGCCCACTTTTTTGAAATTGCATTAAATTTCCTTTTTATGGTAAAAAATTGTTTATTGTCACCTGGCCAAGACCTCTTTAAGATGCAAAAAAGAGGTCCTGTGGATCTTTTAGACCTTTGCGTTGCACATGCTCATGCATACTTCAGTGGGACTAGCTTTGCACTTTGTATGTATAACTGCCTGGTTAAGTTAAAGTCTTTAAGAGGTCTTTGCTGAAGAGCTACTGACCAACCAATAAATATGTCAGGGGAAATAAAAAAGGTGCAAATCTTCTGAATGTATTTTTCTTTTGATGATAAATTCTTTTTGTCAATATTGGATTTGCAATCCCTTTTTCTTTAAAGAAGCACTATAAAGGGGCAGTGAGGATTGTGATGATTACTCACTCGTCACCCTGCACAGAGATTTTCTAGCTCAAGGGACAATAATCAAAGCACCAACAGACTGATAGTGATTATTACTGGAGCAAGTTAACTGAACAATCAACCGATTACACACAAACAATATAGCTGCCACCACACGTGTTAATGGTAACGCACACGGTTCACAGCATTCACTGATGCAGTTTTGACCTTTAAAAATGTCTGTGTCACTTATTGCATGCTTTGACAGGAATGTTACAAAGCTTACCCTATGGTAGCTTTTCAAAGAGGCAGTACTTCAGTTTTTTTTTTCATTTCTAGTTAGAACATTTAGAGATTCAGCTTAATGATTTTGAAATACAGTTTTAATAAAGGATAAAGAAGCATGATGAAGGAAATGTTTACAGAAAACATATAACAAAACAGACATAAGCAACAGTAACATTTAATGATTTACAATTAAAAATACTTAAGTAGAGCTTGCCTAGTGTTTGGTCTCTTGCAAACTAGGTCCAAGCAGATATGGCAGAGTCACTGGCCCTTAGAAATGTCAGAAATGAGACTCAATATCCTTGATAGTTTGGGTTTCAAATAGGAGCTCCAGTTGACAAATGAAGCAGTGTTGTATTGATCCTGGTGATAGTGTCACAGAGGGGCATGTCATAAATGTGCTGGAGTAATTTAATATGTAGACACAGTCTTAAATTCAATAATACATAGTTACAAACATAGTTAGACTGGTTGAAAAAAGTCCATCTAGTTCATCCCAAAAAAAAAACCACACACACAAATAGAGAACCTCTATATGAACAATTCCATACCCTCAGCTGATGCAGAAGGCGGCAAAAAAACATCCCAGTAAAACATGATCAAAATTGGAATGGTCATGGAAAAAAATTCCCAGAAGGCAATTGGATATTCCCTGTATCAACTACTCCTGGTGCTAATACCTATAAAAAAATATGTATCAAGTTATATTTTGTGCATATAGAATCCAAGACTTTTTTAAAACAATCTACTGAGTTGGCCAGAACCAGCTCCTGGGGAGTCTATTCCATATTTTTACAGCTCTTAACCTGAAGGAGCCTTTCTGTATGTGGAGGGTAAATCTCTTTTTCTCCAGACATAAAGAGTGTTCCCTTGTTCTCTGTAATGACTTGAAAGTGCATAACATCAAGTTTACTATATGGACCATTTATGTATTTTTACATGGTGATCATGTTGACCACCCTTAGTCTCCTCTTCTCAAGAAAGAATACATTCCGTTCAGCCTCTTTTCGGTTTAGTTGCCCTTTTCTGAACTCTAGTTTCCCTGATATACTTTTTGTGTACTGGTGCCCGATTTGAAGTACATATTCCAGATTAGGTATTACTAATGATTTGTACAGGGGCAAAAGTGATGTGTTTCTCTTACTCAGGTCTATGCCTCTTTTAATACAAGAAAGGATTTTGCTAGCTTAAGAAATTACAGCTTGGCATTGCATGCCATTATTAAGTCTATGATCTTCCAGAATACTCGGATCCTTCTCCAATGTTTCCCCCAATTGTCTTCTGACAATCTCTACATCATTTATAAATATATTAAAAAGTAAAGGTCCTAACTCTGAACCTTGGGGTACACCACTAGTAACCTTAGACCATTCAGAGTATGAATCGTTAATTGCTACTTTCCGAATACAAATCTCTCTCTGAATTCAGCTGGTGCAAAAAAATGGAAAAATGCTGTGAATAAACATCACTCATCCAATTGTATTACTGAAAAGTGGAGGAGTGATCATGTACATGAAGGAGAAATGTTAATCTGAAAATTGACCTTTAAGACTGAACAATATCTGGAAGTGTATGGTCCCATCTGGAAGGTGCCTAAGCCATATAACCACTTAAAGGGGAAGGCAAATACTGACCTATTTGATCTTTTGGAGGTAAGGTCATATTGTGCAAAGTGGGAGAGTATGGATAATTCACTTATGTGGAATTTTGATCTTCACATAGCAAAAAATTTGAGGAAAAAAATGTTCTTATTTTTGGACTATATCTTGCTTAGTTTGCATGTATTCACGTGATGTAGAATACAATATATGTCTTTCATAATATTTATATCATTTTTAATAAGCGTATACAATTTCCAGCACACAGGATTTATTTTTATTTTCACAGATATTTAGAATTTGTTTTAACTGGGTCATCACACATTTTTATATAGTGAGTTGTACTGCACTTTGTTGAATATACTTTATTGAGGGTGTGGGAACACATATCAGTTTAGGCAGCAGCATATACTGTACTGTATATAAAATATTGTGATTAGAATTAGTGATTGCATAAGATTTTATTTAGGTTTCTAGTAGAGGTTTTTGATGTCTTGAATTTCTTCTGAGTACATTGCATTAGGACCATTCTTTGTCAAATTTGTTACTTTCCATGAATGCCTGGCGCAGACATGAGATTTAAATCTGACCATTTTGTTACTGACTTGCAAATTCTGAGGAACTTTAGGGTGGCACAGTGTTCAGTATTTACAATCCCATCCAGGGGCGGACTGACAACTCATGGGACCCCTGTGTCCTTGCCCAAACTCAAAAAAAAAACCATGAAAAAGGTACCAGGAGCATCTCATGGGGCCCCCTACTGACCCCGGGCCCTCGGGCAGTGCCCGAGTTTCCAAATGGTCAGTCCACCCCTGCGCTCCCATCCTCTTCACATAGTTTGGGGTTCACCAGACCTCACTATAGTCACAGGGATTACTGCACAAGCCCAGGTTTTGTGGAACTCTTTGGCTGTGTTCTTAAATTGAAAATACATGATGGTGGATTTACTAAATGATGAAGCCGCTGACTGAGCCGCGGGGACTGAATGTTATGTCAATATTACCCATTCATGGGAGAAGAATTGGTGTTAAGTCTCTTATCTGATGATGATATTTGGCGGCTGTTGCTTCAGCCTATGAAAGCCTTTGTTGACTTCACTTATGAGGGTTCTAGTAAGCCTTTTGATTTATTGATGATTCGCACGTGATGATTCCATTTACACGAGATTGGGGAAGAGGATCATCGATTTACTCATTATTTCATGCACTGGGTGGCAGTCATCCACATCCTATGGACTTTTTGTCATTTGTGTTTTTCATTATTTATGTATCGGTACTCAATTTTTAGCGCTGCACAATTTTGTTATATATTATTAATGTAATAAAGGAGTTGAGAATTTTTACTTAAAAAGTGAAGATTTACCACAATTATGCAATCATATGAAAAGCAAATATTTATTTATTTCAGCTGTACATATTTGGATAATTTAAGTGATTCTCAACTCCTTTAGTAATTCAGGAAATGTTTCTCTACCGATCTATTATCAGGTCTGTACATTTGAAATATGAAAACTAGTGAATGATAAGTGAGTAAGCACGTGAGTGAGTGCTTATGTGCTCTATCACTTGTATGTAATTATGTTATTAAAACTCCCTTTTTACTGTGCATTAACGTGTCTATTAGGTTTAATCACATTAGCTTTTTTTCAGTGTTAAATCAACTTTGCAACTAATTTATATGCATAGCAGACTGAAAGAAAAAAGATGGATTAGTCTTAACACAGATGTTGATGTACTAGAAGAGAAATACACATGCAAAACTTCTCTAATTAAAGTAGACAGCTTTATGCCAGAGCACGTGGCTCAGTCAATAGACAAGCAATGGAAGGGCTGCAAGGCTTGATGGTGCCAACAGATGATTCTCCAGATGTTTTTCTCTAGAGATAACTGTCTGTTATTTGAAATGTTAAGATTTGGAGGAACATTTCTTCTATTAATTGCTACTGACATACCATAAACACAGAATTACACTGACAGTGAAAATATTGAAGATCACCTTCAGTTAAATGATGGATTCTGTTAATTAATGTAAAACTAAACTTTGACGAGTATCTTAACTAAAAAGCAAGAGCTTACTTATATAGCACTCACTCCCTAAGGATTTTTGGGCATTCCTAGTTTTAACAGTTGATGTTGCCTATCACTGCCTCAAACAGCTTACAAAGCCACCAACAGTGACCTAATGACAGACATCCTTTTTATCAATCTTATTTTGCAATTATATATTGGCTCTACATATTGGCTCAGGAGAGAGAGAAAGATAGGAGTAGAGGTTACTCAACAACAACAGCTAACTTGCCAGAACCACCACACAAAATTCCAATCACAGGAAGGAGCCACGCAGATCTGGAAGGCTGTCGCATTTCAAAGGATATTGATGAGGAAGGGTACCCTTGAAATGCCTCCACCCGGCCTGATCTGCATGGCTACTTCCTGTGATAAAAATTTTATGCAGGAGTTCTGGCATTTGTGTTTCTGGATTTTACTGCCAAGCTTGCATACACATTTGTTTGTGAATATATTATTTTTTCTATGTTTTTCAATAAATGGTGTACACAGTTGATGCAGTAGGCTGGTGTGCCCTCCTTTTGTTTGTTCATTGTTTCAATGTCCAGATTTCCTCAATTCTTGGAGGGCATCAAGACATGGTGCTTAACGCTTTGATTGAAAAGAGAAACAAAAATAATGAGAATCATTTTGAAGTTTTGTGCACCATTCCTGTGTGCAGGATGTTATTTCTATATTCGAAGTGTAAACCTGTGCAAAGGGAGTAACAGATACAGCTATTATAGCTGAGAGATTCTGTTTTTGTAAACCAAATCTTTCAAGGACCTGGGACAGATACCCCAAGTTCACCCTATTAATTGCCTTCTCTGTATTCAGTGCAAAGAGGAGAATGCATTTTATGTATCTCAGAGCATATGATGAAGGTTTACATTTTACAGTTTAATTAAAGCAACTGTATTACCCAACACATTAAAGTGATATTAAACCCTCCGTTTTGAGCACTTTCAGCTGATTTTATCACTTGCCAAGTATGCAGCTTCTTTACATTTAAGCCTTTGTTCCAGTTTAATCTGGTGCCATGACCACTGCCCCATGTGTCCTGCTTCAGGGTGGCTCCATTCTTCTGCAGCATCCTATGGAGTCACCCTTGCATGCAGGGATTAGAGTTGTCTCCCTACATTATGTATCCCCACAAATATAACTGAAAACCTGTTTGGTCACGATATGCAATTTATTCTTTTTTTTAATATTATCTTGAAAGCCAATATCACAAAATGTCTGCTATTACCTTTTTAGCCAGAAAGGCATCTGTTGTTGCCCTCTTTGGTTTAGTTTCCTACTGTTACTGTTGTGTGACATTCCTTGATATTATTCCTAAGATAAATATTTGCCATTCTACTGCCCAATGAGAGTGCTCTTACTGGTCCCATACTGAGACCCTCTGGATAGAGGAATGGCAAATAGCTAAATTTATTAGCTCAAAAATATAAATAGCCCTTTTGTTGTATCTGCTCCCAGGCAGTATAACATTGAGCATACAGTATGTTCTCTTTAAAAGGAACCTAGCAGGATGGAAATACAGAAACTGCTATTTATGAGACAGTTAAAGAGTCAGAGGTCACAAAAAGTCTACCAGTTTCTGGGCTGTCAATTTCTAGAATGTTTTCCTTTTCTTGTGTGTTCAGTGTGTGAGCTCAAGCAGTGTATAAACAGACACTGTCCTTGACATGCCAACTAAGTGTCAGATGTGGGAAAAATAAGTAGAGCTGAATAAAAGTGAAAATTATACATCCTCTATAAGTACGTCTGCACAACTGTAATAATTAACCAATTCATGCCCTTAGGAAGTACCTGTTTGTCCTCAGGTTGAATTGGTTATACCAGGATCAGGACAGCAGCTGCAGCCTGGTATCAGAATTTTCATTTGGCGATAGCCTTTCCTGTAGAAGTGATCTGAGTGGTTTTACAGCCTCCCGATCACTTCTACAGGGTGTGGAAGGGGAGCATCCCCGGTTCCATCCATCGCTGTTCCTGGGCTCTCTGGAGCTATCACAGAGCTTGGGACCAATGCTGTCTGTGGGGCCTGAAGAACAAAGAGGTGAGGAAAGTACATCCATATCTGCCCCCCCCCCTTCTCTGTGATGTAACATACCAGAAGCAACAAACATTTTGTCACTTCCAGTTTTGGTTTATTGCTTACCAGCCATTACCACCTTGTAAAGCATCTGATTAAACTGATCTTGGTTTGATAAGATACCTTTGAGTGCAGAGCAGTGATCTAGGGTCTAATGGACGCCATATCACTTTCTAAAGAGTACTGTTATTACCCATGCTATCACAAGGGATGTTGTTATCCCTTGTGATAGCAATAAGGTTGATCCCCCAAAAATTTAGAATGACAGTGTAAATAAAAAGAAGTAAATATGATAATTACATTTTTTATAAAATTTTAAGTACCCCTATATCCCCATGCTCATGTGCAAATACACCACTTATGTGAGGTATCACCACGAACATCAGAGCAAGAGAGCAATAATTCTAGCACCAGACTTCCAGTAAAGGCTTTTAAAGTGTCCCCCATGGAGTGATATGCTAGGTATCCATTTACTGAGCATAACATTTTATACTTTACCATAAAATTGAGTATTATGTTGTGTTTGTGTGCACTAACATTCATTATTACATAGTATTTTTCCTAATAAATTGGTGTTTTAAAAATGGCTTTGCAAATAACATGTAACATAAAAAAATTACAACAACCACCACTATATTCTCCAGGGTCTCTACTTTAAAAACTCTAGAATGTTTGGGGGTTCTAAGTAATTTTCTAGTAAAAAAAATACTGATATTTACATGTATGTGACAAATGTCAGAATGGGTTTGGTATTTACCTTCTTGCTGCTAACGTAACACATATTTGTGACAGCAAAGAGGGCGGGCTTTAATAGCCCAAAATGTATAGAGAATTTTTAAATTTCAACTAGGAAAGGGAGTGTCCCAATGACTTGACGTTTCTTCTGCCATTCCACACACATTAATTTTTTTTTTGTCCTACCTAAAACACACTGGCACTGACATTAACTGACACTGATACGAATTACAAAAAAAATTTCCTGCCCAAAATATACTGACCTTTGACCCTTACTGACCCAAACACTAACCCTGGCACTGACCTAGATCAAACCTTGATCTAGAAGTGTTTTCTTTATTTTTTCTTGTCTTTTTATTTATTTTGCACACTGCTATTTTTTTTCTCTCTGAAAGAGAGAGAGAGAGAGAGAGAGACAATGTATCTCACTCCTCCATTCAGAGAGAGAAAACAAATCAGAGAGCCAATCAGAGGCTATCAAAAGCAATCAGGTGACCCAGAATGTGGTGTTCCAGGTCCCGATTGTTAGCCCCCAGTCTCTTTTGCTGGGGGTGCACCATGCAAGGAAGATATGCAAATTTGCAGCCTCATGGCATAAAGCCAGTGCAGTGAGGCTGCATATTAGTGTGAAGTCGGCATCTAGGAGTTAAAATAAATTAATAAATAGTTAATAAATATGTATATGTGCATGAATAAATAAAAAGTTCCAATAGTTCATAAATGTGAATATTTGCATAAACAATCCTTCCACAGAATCCTCAAAGATTAACTGTGCAAGAGTACTGTGATAGATATTTTGGGCCTACAATAATTTTCACCTTCTTGGGCCTACAATACCTTTTAATATTATTGTGAACGTCTGATAGGGGTCTCAATTCCTGTAACTTATTTACCATCTGTTGCATCACCTCAACCACCTCCCCCGTGAAGGTTTCCTGTAGAAGTTTATGACAGAAGGGAAATCCAACTGAATAAGCCCTGGATAAGCCCTGTAGTCTTCATTTCTAACACCTTCTAGGGAGTTTCTTGTGGGAACTCTTTTCAAAGGAGAAATGCTTTGCTGGACATTGGCCTATCCTAAATTCCATCTGATGAACTAGAGTTGGCCAATGTCTTTCACAAATCCCAG